TTGACATAATAGAAGTAAGTGGATCAATTAAGTAGCCGAATTCTAAAGAAAAATCATTAGTGATGATCCAAGACCATACATATTATCAACCAAGGAGAAAATATAGAATGAGCATGGGCTAGGAGCATACAAGTATTGTAATGCACTTCTATGTGGAAATACTATGAAAGGACCACATACGACGAAGATTTTTTGTTGCCGTGGGAAAAAGAAGAAGTCCCACCCCTATTAACATAGGAACTGGAAGTGGAACGAAGGGTATTATCCACGCATATTGATNGTATCTGGTAACCATGTATGTAGGGGTATAATCGGTGATTTGACAACAAAAACAATAAAAAATTTAATATAAAATATTATTTCCAAAACCACTGGATACGACTGATTAAGCTGATGTTTCAAAATTTAATGTTGGTTCATTAGAACCATATAAACCGATACCCAGAACTCCCATTAAGAGAAAAATGGAACCTCCCGCTGTGTACAAAATAAATTTTGTAGCTGAGTACAGAGTTTACCGACATTTCTTTCCTCCCCACCTAGATAGAAACATATAAATGGGAATTAATTTTAACTCCCACTTGATGAAAAAAAGTAAAAGGTCCCGAGAAGAGTGATGCACCCACCCACCACCCCCCCCCCAAAAAGACAATACACAACATAATACACAACACCGAGTAACTGGCCAAGCCGCTAAAGTAGCTAAAGTAGTAATGAATCCCGTTAGTAAAATGGGCCCGATAGAAAGTCCATCTATTCCTAATCTCCAATGGAAGTCAAAAAAATTGATNCTAATGATAGAAATAAAAAGTTTGTTGACTTTTTATTTGGTCAATGATCAAGTTATGTAAACTCGCAATGGACAAGTAAAAGTAAACTCACGGCATCCATACCATAAGGACACAACTTACATAAAAGGGAGGATGCCTACGATAATAGCACCTAATTAATTTTTGTTCATACATACAAAAAATCTTCTAAAGAGTGAGTTCTATAGAAAGCCCTTTTTGGGGAGTCAACCTAATAGCAATGGATTTTCTCTCCTTAATAAATGCCGAATCATTATCGTTATTTGACAAAGACTTCTCATGGTAAAGAAGAAAAGGGAAAACAAGCACAATTGGAGAGCGCGGGATAATCCTTTGTTCCATAAGCTGGGGACTATTTACAACTAGTCAATTAAGAATTGTCAAATGTACTAGTACTAGCAGTGCATCAAAGATGCAACCATTGATCCTCGTGATCTGCTATTCTACCCAAGCATGGCTAAAGAAATGTTATGAGATGTAAAACAAATAAAAATTAGCTAATGGAGGCAAGGAATACTATGTGTAATGATTTTATCATTCACAATAAATAAATAATAAACAAAAAGAAAAGGCTATTCCATTTCGACAAAAGACCTAGACCCAAGTTCCATAGCTTTTGGTGTGATATCGCAATCCCCATCGTGATTTTCCTACCTTTTTGGGCCGACTATGAACGAGGAGGAATTCGAACCCCCGACATCATTGTTCATAGCCACGTGCTCCAATAACCTGAGCTACATGCCCCACCCCATCTCCAAATTTATTAAATTTATCAAGCAACAAAACACAACCTTACATGAAATAATCTGAACAATGCAACTATCAAAATAATAGAGCACCTAACTATTTATCTAACCAAAACAAGGTTACGAGCTCTTGTATTTCTTAGATTGGATAGATATGTTCCTGATGACATGGTATGCACTAGTCTTCTTGGTCTTCTTTTAGGTAGAAGTCACATTATAAAACTCTCACTTAATTGAACTCATAGGTGAATCAATACTTTATAGAAATAAATTATATAACATGCACATAAAAATATTCTGCCCCAAAATGTGTTGCATGGAAACAAGAAATACAAACATATACATTTCAACTCCGTATGCTTTTGATGGAAAAATGTCAGATCATACACCATCCACATAGAGTCCATCCTTTCTTTTTGGTAGGTTGACAAAAAATAGTCCACTAGAACAAGTCAACTTAGCAGAAGTCACAACTTCATCAGTTTATCCTTTTTGAGATGGTTTTAACAAGTTTCTCCAAAAACAATACATAATTTAAGGGCAATGCATTATTTAAATGAGATGAATTAATTGCCTGTCCTCTAAAACAGTTGGAGACTCAAACAGNTTTGTAAACTTTCAATGCATTATTTAAATGAGATGAATTAATTGCCTGTCCTCTAAAACAGTTGGAGACTCAAACAGGGCCACTGTTTTTGGGATAGAAACTTGTGTTGAATCGTACTTGCCCCATTTAGGGTTCATCCTTTCTTTTTGGCATGTCCCCAAAAAGTAGTCCATTTTGACAAATCAGAATACAAGATTTGATAACTTCCTCAAGTAATCCTTTTGAAATGATTCTGACTTCTGACAACTTTCTGTAAAACAAAGATGGGAATCTGTTGAACAAGGTGCATTTAGTGCTTGTACGGTTGTACTCTTTAAAAAAAGCCTTGAAAAATTTTGGGACAGAGGGAGTAATTTGATTCAAGTACAATAGCAGAATCATGAATATCCAAATCACTCTTTTAATTGGAAGACATTTGGTTCCGGGAACATATAACCATCTAGAAAGTTACACTTTTGAAAGTTCCTTAGGGCTTAGGCATCTGCTTTGTTATATTGTCATGGCTGAACAGCCTTAGTATCTGGTCGAAGACAACCACTGATATTGTATTGCAGTCAATTCCTGATTCATCTATCCAGCTACCCTATCAGAAATCCATAAGCTGCTTGTGAACTCAAATATCCAATTTAGTAGCAAACTTAATCAATACAAACTGTTTTAACTGGTCCAAAAGAGATGTGATGTTTGGAAATTTATGCAAGTAGCACATACAATCCCCACTAGTAGTATACTAGTATGTAATCCACACCTATACCATAAAGTCGGTCTACCATTTTAACAGTTAATAGTCAAGAGAGGCGTCATGCCCATGACAATCAAATGCATAAAATCCTCCTTAACAAATTCACAAAGAAAGAAAAGATGCTACAAACCGGCTAGTGTTTGTGATTGGAATTAGTAACTAAGTCATTGGAAATAGTCATAGACCAAGGATAAAATATGCTAAAGACTGACACAAGATGATCCTGTTTCATTTATTACGCATAACTGTTAGAAATATGTTTGTCTTAGCTAATTTCGTGAAGTCTTGTGTAAATCTCAAACCTAATTTCATGGTCATGGTGTTTCAAAGATCAAGATCTGTATGCATCAACGAAGGGAGGAGTTCAAGCTACAAAACCTTATCAAGTGTTCTTCGATGTAATGGCCTAAAGACCTAAGAACCTTGGTTTAAATGTTAAATTTAAGATGATTAGGATTATGAAAATAGAATTGAAAAAATCCGCAAATGACTCTTTAAGGGTTTTTCATTAAAAAATCTTTTCTAAACCTTAAATGTGATTTGAAAATAAAAATTGAGCCATTTATCAGACCATACTTGAGCAATACCTTCTAATGATTAAGTGCTCATGATGACTAATTTTTGCTTGGTTTTCAGCTTTAAAACCAATAGAGACCGACCTCTGCTCGCTTGCATTTGACTAAAGCAATCTTTGAACACTTAGAGATAAAATCGGAGAAGACTATCGAGTTAGATAGTGAAAACTGTCCTCTAGCCACTCGTAGGCGCTCAAACGATCTTTGCTCCACTAATCTGGCTTGGATCCTTTTTTATTCCAGCAATAATCATTTTTTCACTGCTCAGGCAGTTGTTCGTGGTTTCTGGTTTACTTGGTCCCTAAGATTAATCTAATTTCGAACCTATAAATAGGGAAAGCCTTCTAAAGCTAGGGTAAGTCTCAAGAAGTCTCTTGTAAACCTACATTGAGTATTCTGACATCTAGAGAGCCATAGATAAACCCTAGATCCCTAAAACCAAAGGTCATCCACCTTGAATCTTCAATTCAAACTTGTTCTTGCTTGTAGTTAAACTCAAAAAGAAGTGTGCATCCCATGGGTCTTGGTGGAAAAGGTCGCTCAAAGAGCCTAAATGATCCATTGCGGTGGAGCCATTCAAGTGAACTTGCTTATAACTCTGGTGAGGGAATCCAAATGAGAAATTTACCAAAGAAAAAGGGCATCTTTCCATAGTATTGGTTGAGGAGTAAACCTCGAGTACTAGTAAATTGACCTTGAGCTAGTGGATTAGGCTAGGTGAACCCTGAGTGGTTCCGCAGTTTTCCGTGGTTGGATTTCCACGTAAACAAATTGTTTGTGCCCTTATTGCTTTAATTTTTTTGCATGTACACTTGCAATTGCACACATGTGCACCATGTGTTTAATGATTGATTGTTCATCTTTCAATTTATTAAAAAGGTTTGTTTAAACAATTGGATTTGGCAGGATCATGATCATGATGAATTATAGTGTTAATCGATCAATTGTTATATCTCTACATTGATTCACATGACAGAGTATGTGGGTTGAGAAAAAGGGTTCAAGGTGATGATCGACATATCAATCTTTGAATTTGTTAATTGTGGTAGATTATATTAAAATTGGAATTTGTTTGATCTTAAAATTGAATTAACCTATTCACCCTCACTAGGTTGTGTCTAGCATCCCACATAAATAATCATGAGGAAAGATCTATTGCAAATCTCTCCCCAATAACAATGTTTCTACACTTAAGAGAAGGAAATAAAGCAATATGAATAAAGTCTAATTAACATATCAACTTGGAGCCTCGCTAGAGAGAGAGTTTACCTTGGAGGCTTTTACATGGGCTAGGCAAATACCAACTAAACCAACACCTGATCCAACCTGTTCATTTATTTTAAAAACCACATCAAAAAAGAAAGAAAGAAATCACTATATGTATTCAAAGCAATACAAAGCATGAAATCAAAGAAATAAGAAAAATAAGGCAAGACATGACATATAAGGTATGTTTCTGACATTCTTTCGTAAAACCAAAGTTAAATATGTGATTATAAATTGTTAAGGCTGAGAACATTATTAATATGGAGAAATGATAGCACGAACAACTTGTGCAAGATTTCCAGTTGGACAGGCACTGAAAATTCCATAAGAGCAAGGATTGAAATATCGTTTCGGTACATAATTTCAATCAGCTTAGAAACGGAAACATTTCAAGAGTGTTTCAGAAATATTTTGGGAACAAAATTTTAGTCATATAATGTATAAAATTTTCCAATATTCAATCACTAATTTGTATTGGTCACCATTATACAGAAACTTTTCAAATGTTTTGACATTTTCAAAACGAAATTTATTTTCTTGCATAAGAGAAAGAAAGAGGGATGAATGAATATAAAAAATATATCTTACCTCAAAACAAGATTTACTCGAGAATATCTCTGGGCAAGAAAGAACGAACTCTGACAAGAAAAGACTTGAGGGCCAAATGGAACAACTGTATAAATCCACTGGTAAAAATCAGTGATAATAATGTTGAGAGATTCTAAGCATAAGAAATTATTCACAATTTAAACCATTTATTCTCCAATTTACAGAATTTCCTGATCATGCAAGTTGTCAAAGTTCACAGGTAGAATTTGGTCTAGTAAGTTCAAACTGCAATCAAAGCTTCTTGATATACATATTGAAGGTTATTGGTGAAGCTTTGAATTCAAAGTAACCTAACACTCCCTGATTTGCTGAAAATTCGAGCTCAAATTGGTGCGTTTTAGTGCGGCCTGAAAGTAATCACAAAATCAGCATCTTGTACGGTGGGCAAAATAGATTTTAAGTCAAGCTCAAAGTGTTCAAGCCATGTCGGTGGCAAAGGAATAAATAATGTTTAAATTCATCTTTAATCCCTAGTTGGCAATAGTAATCCTTTTTGGGCAGCCTGAACTAAAAATATAGTGCATCTCACAACAACAAAAAAAAAAGAGTAGCTTGGAACGAAGAAGCTGAAACAAACTGAGCTAAGCTCGATCAAGGGGCCGTCCTTCAAGCTAACTCACGTTGGCAGAGCCCAGTTCAATATAACCAAATTGACCGCTGTCAATTTTGAGATTAGACGGTTTCAATGTATATTCAGAGTAATTCAGTCAAATCACTCTAATCTTAAACATGCATTTAGCGGCGCTAATTTCGGTACCCTGACAAGTATAACCTATCCTGACATGCAAGACTGCTTAATCCTATTTNAATGATCCATTGCGGTGGAGCCATTCAAGTGAACTTGCTTATAACTCTGGTGAGGGAATCCAAATGAGAAATTTACCAAAGAAAAAGGGCATCTTTCCATAGTATTGGTTGAGGAGTAAACCTCGAGTACTAGTAAATTGACCTTGAGCTAGTGGATTAGGCTAGGTGAACCCTGAGTGGTTCCGCAGTTTTCCGTGGTTGGATTTCCACGTAAACAAATTGTTTGTGCCCTTATTGCTTTAATTTTTTTGCATGTACACTTGCAATTGCACACATGTGCACCATGTGTTTAATGATTGATTGTTCATCTTTCAATTTATTAAAAAGGTTTGTTTAAACAATTGGATTTGGCAGGATCATGATCATGATGAATTATAGTGTTAATCGATCAATTGTTATATCTCTACATTGATTCACATGACAGAGTATGTGGGTTGAGAAAAAGGGTTCAAGGTGATGATCGACATATCAATCTTTGAATTTGTTAATTGTGGTAGATTATATTAAAATTGGAATTTGTTTGATCTTAAAATTGAATTAACCTATTCACCCTCACTAGGTTGTGTCTAGCATCCCACATAAATAATCATGAGGAAAGATCTATTGCAAATCTCTCCCCAATAACAATGTTTCTACACTTAAGAGAAGGAAATAAAGCAATATGAATAAAGTCTAATTAACATATCAACTTGGAGCCTCGCTAGAGAGAGAGAGAGAGAGAGAGAGTTTACCTTGGAGGCTTTTACATGGGCTAGGCAAATACCAACTAAACCAACACCTGATCCAACCTGTTCATTTATTTTAAAAACCACATCAAAAAAGAAAGAAAGAAATCACTATATGTATTCAAAGCAATACAAAGCATGAAATCAAAGAAATAAGAAAAATAAGGCAAGACATGACACATAAGGTATGTTTCTGACATTCTTTCGTAAAACCAAAGTTAAATATGTGATTATAAATTGTTAAGGCTGAGAACATTATTAATATGGAGAAATGATAGCACGAACAACTTGTGCAAGATTTCCAGTTGGACAGGCACTGAAAATTCCATAAGAGCAAGGATTGAAATATCGTTTCGGTACATAATTTCAATCAGCTTAGAAACGGAAACATTTTAAGAGTGTTTCAGAAATATTTTGGGAACAAAATTTTAGTCATATAATGTATAAAATTTTCCAATATTCAATCACTAATTTGTATTGGTCACCATTATACAGAAACTTTTCAAATGTTTTGACATTTTCAAAACGAAATTTATTTTCTTGCATAAGAGAAAGAAAGAGGGATGAATGAATATAAAAAATATACCTTACCTCAAAACAAGATTTACTCGAGAATATCTCTGGACAAGAAAGAACAAACTCTGACAAGAAAAGACTTGAGGGCCAAATGGAACAACTGTATAAATCCACTGGTAAAAATCAGTGATAATAATGTTGAGAGATTCTAAGCATAAGAAATTATTCACAATTTAAACCATTTATTCTCCAATTTACAGAATTTCCTGATCATGCAAGTTGTCAAAGTTCACAGGTAGAATTTGGTCTAGTAAGTTCAAACTGCAATCAAAGCTTCTTGATATACATATTGAAGGTTATTGGTGAAGCTTTGAATTCAAAGTAACCTAACACTCCCTGATTTGCTGAAAATTCGAGCTCAAATTGGTGCGTTTTAGTGCGGCCTGAAAGTAATCACAAAATCAGCATCTTGTACGGTGGGCAAAATAGATTTTAAGTCAAGCTCAAAGTGTTCAAGCCATGTCGGTGGCAAAGGAATAAATAATGTTTAAATTCATCTTTAATCCCTAGTTGGCAATAGTAATCCTTTTTGGGCAGCCTGAACTAAAAATATAGTGCATCTCACAACAACAAAAAAAAAAGAGTAGCTTGGAACGAAGAAGCTGAAACAAACTGAGCTAAGCTCGATCAAGGGGCCGTCCTTCAAGCTAACTCACGTTGGCAGAGCCCAGTTCAATATAACCAAATTGACCGCTGTCAATTTTGAGATTAGACGGTTTCAATGTATATTCAGAGTAATTCAGTCAAATCACTCTAATCTTAAACATGCATTTAGCGGCGCTAATTTCGGTACCCTGACAAGTATAACCTATCCTGACATGCAAGACTGCTTAATCCTATTTAACAAAGCTCTGTACCACTACCACCAAATCCTTATCTAATCAATTGTAATGGTAAAGTTGCACTTTTCCTTACACGAGCGTAAAGTAAAACACAAAGTCAANTTAACAAAGCTCTGTACCACTACCACCAAATCCTTATCTAATCAACTGTAATGGTAAAGTTGCACTTTTCCTTACACGAGCGTAAAGTAAAACACAAAGTCAATAAGGCCTAAATACTTGGATCGACTGTCATCCATAAATAACTTGATTTAAAAAAGGATTCAAAGATGGCATGCACAAGGAAACCAAGTCTTGGCAGTTTAGTGGGATCCAACATTAGATAATGGAAATAGATATCTGTAATACATACCCAGTATCTCCTTCAAGCATGTTGAGAGAACATCGTACTGGAATCACTAGCTTCCTTGGCTTTGGACAACTAGGGAATTCAAGATTGTCTTCATGAAAACCAAAGCAACAATTAAACATTAATTTGTGCAAAAAAGAAGTTAAAATATCAAATGCGTTTATCATACTTGAGATAAACTTCCTACCATTTGGAAAAAGAAATGTAATCCATTTCCATACCCTTGAATTTCCTTTCGCCAAATTATCCTCCTAAACAACCAAAAGAAAATCTTGGAACATAATTAATGATTAAGATTAAAGATATTAACAATAAAAGTCATCAATTTAANCCTTACCTCAAAACAAGATTTACTCGAGAATATCTCTGGACAAGAAAGAACAAACTCTGACAAGAAAAGACTTGAGGGCCAAATGGAACAACTGTATAAATCCACTGGTAAAAATCAGTGATAATAATGTTGAGAGATTCTAAGCATAAGAAATTATTCACAATTTAAACCATTTATTCTCCAATTTACAGAATTTCCTGATCATGCAAGTTGTCAAAGTTCACAGGTAGAATTTGGTCTAGTAAGTTCAAACTGCAATCAAAGCTTCTTGATATACATATTGAAGGTTATTGGTGAAGCTTTGAATTCAAAGTAACCTAACACTCCCTGATTTGCTGAAAATTCGAGCTCAAATTGGTGCGTTTTAGTGCGGCCTGAAAGTAATCACAAAATCAGCATCTTGTACGGTGGGCAAAATAGATTTTAAGTCAAGCTCAAAGTGTTCAAGCCATGTCGGTGGCAAAGGAATAAATAATGTTTAAATTCATCTTTAATCCCTAGTTGGCAATAGTAATCCTTTTTGGGCAGCCTGAACTAAAAATATAGTGCATCTCACAACAACAAAAAAAAAAGAGTAGCTTGGAACGAAGAAGCTGAAACAAACTGAGCTAAGCTCGATCAAGGGGCCGTCCTTCAAGCTAACTCACGTTGGCAGAGCCCAGTTCAATATAACCAAATTGACCGCTGTCAATTTTGAGATTAGACGGTTTCAATGTATATTCAGAGTAATTCAGTCAAATCACTCTAATCTTAAACATGCATTTAGCGGCGCTAATTTCGGTACCCTGACAAGTATAACCTATCCTGACATGCAAGACTGCTTAATCCTATGTAACAAAGCTCTGTACCACTACCACCAAATCCTTATCTAATCAATTGTAATGGTAAAGTTGCACTTTTCCTTACACGAGCGTAAAGTAAAACACAAAGTCAATAAGGCCTAAATACTTGGATCGACTGTCATCCATAAATAACTTGATTTAAAAAAGGATTCAAAGATGGCAAACCAAGTCTTGGCAGTTTAGTGGGATCCAACATTAGATAATGGAAATAGATATCTGTAATACATACCCAGTATCTCCTTCAAGCATGTTGAGAGAACATCGTACTGGAATCACTAGCTTCCTTGGCTTTGGACAACTAGGGAATTCAAGATTGTCTTCATGAAAACCAAAGCAACAATTAAACATTAATTTGTGCAAAAAAGAAGTTAAAATATCAAATGCGTTTATCATACTTGAGATAAACTTCCTACCATTTGGAAAAAGAAATGTAATCCATTTCCATACCCTTGAATTTCCTTTCGCCAAATTATCCTCCTAAACAACCAAAAGAAAATCTTGGAACATAATTAATGATTAAGATTAAAGATATTAACAATAAAAGTCATCAATTTAACCACAAGATTACCTTTAATGAAGCCATGTAAAATGCATATTGTTCATACAGTTCATCCAAAACCTCAGCACCGCTTGATTCAAGTTCATCAATAAGCTTTTTCAGAAAACCTTTCAAGTAAGGTGCATAAAATTTCTCATCCTGTAGAATTAAACAAACCAAAACAAGCACATTGCTCACCAAAATACTCAAAGAGCAGGCAATTTATAGCTGAGACAATGTAGGAAAAGAGAAAAACAAAAAAAATTGAAAAATACATTCATCAATGTTGGGAGCCCGAACAATGAGTTTTAATCTGTTGAAATCAGCCTATAGCACAAACCAGCTAAAATTTCCACCTTTCAGCTAGACCAAATCAACTATTAAGCATAAATATTCAGAATTCAATTTTATTAATTTAAAGCAACATTGAACAAAAAAATCATATTTTTCTTTTTCAAAATTCTTTTATTCTTCTCAGGTTTTAGTGCGCAAAGAGAGGGGACGAACTGACAAAGAATCCATTCAGTTGCTATTAGTTGCTCAGTTACTCGGTTACTTTTCAAAAAAAAAAAAAAAAAGAGATCGAAACATTGTATATGACATCAAATTAGATGTCTTTTTTTTCTTTGTTTCATGTTCTTCGAATTTTTAAAAGGAACGNCAATGTAGGAAAAGAGAAAAACAAAAAAAATTGAAAAATACAGATGTCTTTTTTTTCTTTGTTTCATGTTCTTCGAATTTTTAAAAGGAACGTAGTGCACTGACTTACAGCTTTGCTTATACAGTGGACCCAAATGAAGTTCTGTACTTTCTCTGTAACCGAACCACCTCCACAAAGCCTAGGGTTTCAGGAATCACAAACGCAATCCATTTTGTTATATATTTCTAATTAAATGACAAATATAAAAAAAAAAGGAAATAATTTGCTAGACAAGGAAATGGGATTGTGTTGGCTAATGTGTGCGGCCCGAGAGGGGGTTACCGGGCCAAGGAGATCAACACCTCCGGAGGTTCCATGGCGAGAAAGGCAGAGACCAGGTGGAGGGATGAAGATGAAGGCACGTTCGGGTCCAGCTCATGGTCCGCCATCAACCCCAAGTTTAGGTAAATCCAAATCTAAAGAAAGCGTGACCTCTGAATTGCAAAGAGGCATCAACTTTCACGAAGCCATTTTTTTTTTGGGAAAATTACACAATCACAAAAATATTTCATATAAATCCTCAAACACTTCGATTAACAAACTACACTCAGATTCTCTCTGAATTTTTCAAGTTTGAAATATTGTATTTCAATTTCTTATTATTTTCAGCAATCTATCAAACGATCAAATTAATAGAATAACCATTAGTGACAGTTTAAAGTAATTTGAGACATAAAACAGAAACACTAAATGAGTTTTTTTTATTTTTAATTTATTTTAAATTTTTTATGTGAGAGAGAACCAAAAGAAAGATATACTAGTATTGTCCGGAAAAAAAGTTTCAATTTTTGTTTTTATTTTTTATAAGAGAGAGTTTAATTTCAATTTTTTGTTCTATTTTATTTTTTTACAAGATAGAGGAAGAGAAAAATGTAAAGTGAATATGAGTTGACTTTTGAGTATTTTTTTAACACTGATTTTTTAGTTTTTAATGATATGCATTGGATTGTGGGTCCAAATTATTTACAAAAAAAAAATTGACTGGACTTAGATTTTTTGAGCATTTTTGAAGAGCTTAAATTAGGACTTTTGGAAGCTGGTACACGAAATTGAATTTAATTGTCAAAAAGTACATAAAAAAAATGTTTTGTAAAANAAATTTTTTATGTGAGAGGGAACCAAAAGAAAGATATACTAGTATTGTCCGGAAAAAAGTTTCAATTTTTGTTTTTATTTTTTATAAGAGAGAGTTTAATTTCAATTTTTTGTTCTAACTTTTTTTTTTACAAGATAGAGGAAGAGAAAAATGTGAAGTGAATATGAGTTAACTTTTGAGTATTTTTTTAACACTAATTTTTTAGTTTTTAATGATATACATTGGATTGTGGATCCAAATTATTTACAAAAAAAAAATTGATTGGACTTAGATTTTTTGAGCATTTTTGAAGAGCTTAAATTAGGACTTTTGAAAGCCGGTACACGAAATTGAATTTAATTGTCAAAAAGTACATAAAAAAAATGTTTTGTAAAAAAATTCACTTAACGCATAGAAAGACTTAAATACCATTTTATTGTAAATAAGTTTCCTTATTTTATATATATGCGTGTGTTTGTGAGAGAGAGAGAGAGAGATCTCGTGTTTCATATAAACATAAATGATATTAACGTGATAATATTTTTAAATTAATTAAAATGATGAGAGAAATTTCAAATTATTGTTAAAGGAATAATTGCGTAAGTTTGAGGTACGCATGTATTGACTTTTATGTCAAATTTATTTTTTGGAAGTTTTTTATTATTGATAAGGGTAATTAAGTAAATATATTATTTTTTTTAAGTCAAAATAATATTACCATTGAATCTGATAAGTTTGAAAATCTTGAAATAGACGTTTAGCTTATATAGTGATTCGAAGGGGTAAAATAATATTTTTAGTGTTTCAAGTATAAATTAATTTTAGTTTTGAGATAAATCATGAAACTAAATGTTTTTAGATTAAAATAACATTAAAAATAAATTCGAAACATCAAAAAAACTTTAATGTAGTCATAGGGATCAAATTAGAGATGTCTAGTGGTAAAATCGTAATTTTAGAGAAAAATACATTTTTTTTTGCCCCATAAACAGTAAATTTTGGGACTGCCGAGTTTAAAACCCCAATTTCAACTTCATTTTTTCCATTATTTCATTTCACTCTCATCCAATACCTCTTAGAACCTTAGGAGAAGATAAAGAGACAGAAAAAAAGAAGAAGAAAGTCTCAAAAGAGCTTTGCTTGAAAATCTTAGGAAATTGACTTAAAATTCTTGATTGTTATGTGGGATTTTTCACTCTCTTGTATTTACATTGTGTCTCATGTATTTTCTTTAGCTAAAACTTACTATATGTTTAATGACAAAATACTTGTTATAAATCTTGATTTAGTGTTGAGTATGTCATGAATTNGGTCAAATTTATTTTTTGGAAGTTTTTTATTATTGATAAGGGTAATTAAGTAAATATAATATTACCATTGAATCTGATAAGTTTGAAAATCTTGAAATAGACGTTTAGCTCATACAGTGATTCGAAGGGGTAAAATAATATTTTTAGTGTTTCAAGTATAAATTAACTTTAGTTTTGAGATAAATCATGAAACTAAATGGTTTTAGATTAAAATAACATTAAAAATGAATTCGAAACATCAAAAAAACTTTAATGTAACCATAGGGATCAAATTAGAGATGTCTAGTGGTAAAATCGTAATTTTAGATAAAAATACATTTTTTTTTGCCCCATAAACAGTAAATTTTGGGACTGCCGAGTTTAAAACCCCAATTTCAACTTCATTTTTTCCATTATTTCATTTCACTCTCACCCAATACCTCTTAGAACCTTAGGAGAAGATAAAGAGACAGAAAAAAGAAGAAGAAGGTCTCAAAAGAGCTTTGCTTGAAAATCTTAGGAAATTGACTTGAAATTCTTGACTGTTATGTGGGATTTTTCACTCTCTTGTATTTACATTGTGTCTCATGTATTTTCTTTAGCTAAAACTTACTATATATTTAATGACAAAATACTTGTTATAAATCTTGATTTAGTGTTGAGTATGTCATGAATTGTGAACCTATATGCATAAAAATGATTTTAGTGTTATGGGTTTAAAACCTTAGTTTGATTTTATTTATGAGTATTTGATTGAACCTATAATTGGGGGGTTTTGAAGTATGTTATGATCTTGTCCATAATATATATGACTTATTCTCTTGGAAAATGGTTGTGTTGCTTTGAAAATGCAAATTTTGATATTTGAGTTTACTACATGTTTGATAAAATGTCAAGGTTATGACATATATTTTCAAAAGGATTTATGGATATAAAAAATAATAATTTTTGAAAAATATATGTTCGATACTAACAGGTAGAGGATTAGTAGACGGTTGAGGGCCTATTGAGTGAGTTGTCAAGGCGACTAATAGTCATAAAAGAGATTGGTTATGGTAGTGATTTTCGGTGATGACTTATGTGGCGTCACAAATTGTGCCCTATATGTACCCCTTGAAAAGCAAGAAGAGCGATGAGACCTTAGAGTGCAAGACCCAAAAGATTCCCCAAGGATAATTCATACGTGAATCGGTGTGATTAATTATATTATCCGTATGCGAGACATGCATTGTATTTGTTATGATGGTTTTGCTCTAAATATATAAACCTTTAATTTATACCTTGTATATTTTTAATGATGAGGTGTTAAGAGATTTTTATAATTGTTTTACTTATTTTCTTGTACCTATACTTAATTATAGAAAGCTTTCATTACTTATTCATATGGTTTGTGGAATGTTGATATTTAATATTTTATAAATGCTTGGGAAAAGGATTATCCTACTGAGCTATGATTGCTCATCCCTTACTGATATTTGTAGACACTAGCATGCATTCTGGGGCATAGGTGATAAAATAATTTATGAAAGGCTCGACTAGAAAGACTCTTNCCCAATACCTCTTAGAACCTTAGGAGAAGATAAAGAGACAGAAAAAAGAAGAAGAAGGTCTCAAAAGAGCTTTGCTTGAAAATCTTAGGAAATTGACTTGAAATTCTTGACTGTTATGTGGGATTTTTCACTCTCTTGTATTTACATTGTGTCTCATGTATTTTCTTTAGCTAAAACTTACTATATATTTAATGACAAAATACTTGTTATAAATCTTGATTTAGTGTTGAGTATGTCATGAATTGTGAACCTATATGCATAAAAATGATTTTAGTGTTATGGGTTTAAAACCTTAGTTTGATTTTATTTATGAGTATTTGATTGAACCTATAATTGGGGGGTTTTGAAGTATGTTATGATCTTGTCCATAATATATATGACTTATTCTCTTGGAAAATGGTTGTGTTGCTTTGAAAATGCAAATTTTGATATTTGAGTTTACTACATGTTTGATAAAATGTCAAGGTTATGACATATATTTTCAAAAGGATTTATGGATATAAAAAATAATAATTTTTGAAAAATATATGTTCGATACTAACAGGTAGAGGATTAGTAGACGGTTGAGGGCCTATTGAGTGAGTTGTCAAGGCGACTAATAGTCATAAAAGAGATTGGTTATGGTAGTGATTTTCGGTGATGACTTATGTGGCGTCACAAATTGTGCCCTATATGTACCCCTTGAAAAGCAAGAAGAGCGATGAGACCTTAGAGTGCAAGACCCAAAAGATTCCCCAAGGATAATTCATACGTGAATCGGTGTGATTAATTATATTATCCGTATGCGAGACATGCATTGTATTTGTTATGATGGTTTTGCTCTAAATATATAAACCTTTAATTTATACCTTGTATATTTTTAATGATGAGGTGTTAAGAGATTTTTATAAATGTTTTACTTATTTTCTTGTACCTATACTTAATTATAGAAAGCTTTCATTACTTATTCATATGGTTTGTGGAATGTTGATATTTAATATTTTATAAATGCTTGGGAAAAGGATTATCCTACTGAGCTATGATTGCTCATCCCTTACTGATATTTGTAGACACTAGCATGCATTCTGGGGCATAGGTGATAAAATAATTTATGAAAGGCTCGACTAGAAAGACTCTTTTAGAGTTTTTTTATATTTACCTTCAGAACTTATGTAGAAATGTTAACACACATTGTGTTTGAAAATGTTGTCTTGAGACATTTGTGGTGTACACTTGATCATCCCATAGAGAAATTATTATTTTGGATATTGTCATGAAAAGTTATGACTTTATGTACTAAGTTATGGTATATATTAGTATTTGATATATCCTGGTTTGGAAGGACTTTGTAGGTCTCTAATTGTCACCCCGAATTTAGTTGAATTATATTTTTTTATGGAAGCATGTTGGGAATTTTTAATTAATTTAAATTATGTTATGCTCTCACAATGATGCTCTTACTAACTGGTTGAAAGTCCGATTTTTAAATGAAACTCTGCCAAAATTTTTGAAAAAAAAAGTGTTAATAANAAACCTATAATTTGGGGGTTTTGAAGTATGTTATGATCTTGTCCATAATATATATGACTTATTCTCTTGAAAAATGGTTTTGTTGCTTTGAAAATGCAAATTTTGATATTTGAGTTTACTACATGTTTGATAAAATGTCAAGGTTATGACATA